CGAGAGATTCAGCTGGGTTCCAGGTGAGCCTCTCGAAAAAACAAATTAGTTTGCAAATATGTGTATATTCGCTAATTTCGTGCAGTTTGGGTTCAAGGAGAACATAGGGTTGACGGAAGCTCGGAGACTGCGCCTATCTGATGAGCCCCAATTCGGGCGAAACCGGTCGGGGGCTGTCGAGGAGTTTTCAGTAACCGTATGAGTAGTACATTACAAAAATATACATGTATCACGATATCTCGAATCTGGAAACGTGAGGCGGCCTGGTGCATCACATTCAGTTGCCTGAGAACACAAATGAGGGATTCAGCTGGGTTCCAGGTGAGTCTCTCGAGAAAAACAACTTAGTTTGCAAATATGTGAAAGTCCTTTTTACAGCACGTCGCACTTAAGGTTTATTCTAGAAATTTGGACATCTTCACTGGCACCCGGGGTTCAGAGGATACGTGATTTGCTGTTTTGTCCACTTTTGCGACCAATCGGATGTCGCCGTGATGCTGAACAGGCAAAGGGGCGGACTACTCACAGGCTTCAACGAATGAATAGTTTCCCTGTCAGGCAACTTACGCCAGGCGTCACTCGGTGGTCTGAGTGGCCGAATTTTCTTCTCAAGTATGGAAATGTATGCAGGAACACCATGCACAGTGTGTGTGAAATATGTCGTATCTACTGCTGAGCTGGTACGTTCCACATTAGGCTTGTTTGCTTACCGGGTTTCTGTATGTTCGAGGACTTAGCGAGGATATCAAGCGTTGTACTTCAGCGCCTGGTTTCCTTCTATACTCCCCCACACAACGTGTGTTTCACAACAATCCCGCTAGGATTGGAGTGCATTCCGTAGCATCTTGCTGAGCGGCACTCCAAAGGCCCTCGCAGTATATGGGCCGGTGAACGGAGTTATCCTCTCGCTTATTCGATAGTGGCTTGCCGGCTGTCACAGTAACTGTGACTCCGAACAAGCCCTGCAAAAATCCCTGGTATGTTCCTCTGAGAACAGAGCGCGCTCTATGCCAACGACAGGTTCCGATAGGGGGCTCTTTCGGGTAGAGTCGCACTATGAACATTCACAGGGCTGTAAGCTGCGTTGACCGGTAACTTACGTCATTCAGTAAAGAGTTGTAACGCACACGGCCTGTTTTTTCTACATACCAGGCAATGCATTCCCCGATAGCTCGGTGGTTAGAGCGCGAATTTACTGACCGGAAGGTCTGTGGCTCGAACGCGACCTCTGCCTCTCGACACCCTCTGTCTAGGCTTGGGCAACCTGGCACTAACCCAGCCCTCTTGTAACCTTCGGGTGGCATGGCAGTTGGGCACCGAAAGGATGCCATAGGTGAACGATTTTTTCCATCAACCATATATTCTACTTGTACTCAAGTACAAAATTGGTCAGCTACCCCCCCCCCCCGATTGGTTTTGACAGGAGACTCAAATGAATACGACTGAATCTTTCATTTATGATTGTCTTAAATTGGAGCGGAGGAGGAATATACTTTGCTGAAGAAGTACCATCTTGATCGACTTTCGTCCTGTCAGCTCCAGTCATTCACATTTAGCTGGCAAATATGAGCTAATCTATTCACTCGGTTTGGGCCCGACCTAAAGCTGCCACCTTGACGTGGAGGAATATTGCTGAAGAAGTACCATCTTGATCGACTTTCGTCCAGTCAGCTCCAGTCATTCACATTTAGCTGGCAAATATGAGCTAATTAATCCACTCGGTTTGGGCCCGACCTAAAGCTGCCACCTTGACGTGGTGGTCGGGCTTCAGTGCTGCAATGATCCCGCGGGCTACACTGGCTGGAACTTCGTTCCACAAGGTCTAACCATGCCAGGAAGGCCAAAGGGGAGCAGCCAGACCAAGAGCAGCGAGACCCCGTACTACGAGTAATCGTGCTACGAGGCGGCCTGGAGGTAAAGTCGTACTGTCCTCTGCGACAGGAG